GGCCCAGCTGCTTGCTGCTGTTCATCAGCAGCCACCCTATGAAAGCCAGTGCGGTGCAGCAGTTAAAGCTTCAGAGTAGGGTCTACAAGACCTAGGTTCAGATCCCCATCTTGTGGTGGAAGCTGACTGGGTGATTTTGGACCAGTCACATACTTTCAGCCTAACCAGCCTCACAGGGTTGTTGTGCAGATAAAAAGGAAGCGAGAATAATGTAAGCTGTTTTTGTCCCCACTGTGGAGAAAGAATATAATTTTCCTAGGTAGAGGCTGTGGGGGAGGGGAGTGGAGATGGAAAGCTGAAGACAGATAAAAGCAGATAAAAGTAGATTGGCTGTTGGGTGGAAAGGAAATAGGGTTGCCAACTCCAGGTTGGGAAATTCCTGGACATTTGAGGAGTGGAGCCTGGAGAGGGTGGGGTTTGAGGAGGGGAGGAACTTCAGACCAGTATAATGCCATAGACTCCACCCTCCAAACCAGCCATTTCCTCCATGAGAACTAACATTGCCAGCCTCTGGGTGAGGGTTGGAGATCAGCCAGAATTACAACTGTTGTCCAGGTGACAGAGATCAGTTCCCCTGGATATAATGGCTGCTTTGGAGGGTTGAGTCTATGGCATTATATCCTGCTGAGGCTGCTTGCTTCCCCAAGCCTCACTGTCCTGAGGCTCCACCCCAAGAAGGGAGAAAGAGTGTGAGACAGGTAGGGGTAGAGGGGAGGAAGCAAAGGTATGAGGAATCAGATGACCATCCCGCAAGTTTCTTGCAGGTCTCCATTTGTGAATGTATATTTACAAAACGTCTTTCATGTGTAAAATCTGTACCACCTAATAAGGCTATTTTCTTCCACAAGTTTTTCTCTTCTATATTAATTATATTCAGATTCCTCCCCCTATTTATGCTTCCACGTGTGACAAATATATCTTTATCCCATGGTGTGAGATGCAGCAGTATTGAACCACATTAAACTCAAACGTTTTCTGTATCTAGAACACAAGGACAAACTGTCTACATAGGATGCAGGTATTGGGAAGTGACAACGGCACTCCCCACATTCAGATTCTTAACAAACCCCTACAGAGGCCCAAACAATGCCAGAGGGATTTCTCTCTGGCTTAGTACATGGTCAGTTTGGGTATCTAGTTGTGCAGGATCTACTTTCACATGAGAGGATCTCACATGTCTGGCAGTTAAATAACAGAACCTTGTGGGTAGCTGACTGCCTGGTTCCTACAGAACTTGCACTTTGAGGATGAGTGTGTGGGGGAAACAACACATGCTAATGCCAACTTTATAGGAAAGACCTGCTTGATTTTCCCACAAGGCAGCATCCAGCCACCTGCAGCTGCCTCAAGGGAAAACAATCCCCACATGCCTGCATGACTGTCTAAAAGGCGCTTCACTTCTATCATTCTGTCATGTAGAAAGGAGGATTTTAACATGGGGATGCAGAAGTGTTGTTGAATGTGTGGTAAACCAGTGTAGCAGTCAATGTTTTGTGCTGTTTTTATGCCCCAGAGGCAGTTGTTACGGCTTGCTTTCATTATTGACATTCTTCTGTTGTTTTTTCTGATTGTATTGCATTGTTACTATGGCACATACATTGTCTAACTAAATGGTGACAGACAAGGGTTAGGGAGACCCAATTCAAATCCACACTGCCAGGAAGTTGACTGAGTGACCTCAGAACAGCCTACTTCATAGGGTCATGATTACACAACCGAAGAGGGATGATATCCATGTGTGCCACTCTGAAGCCCTTGGAGAAAGAGCAGGATAAAAATGTAGTAGCAGTAGCAATAATAAATGATGATGATGGTAATAATAATAATAATGATGATGATGATGATGATGATGATGATGATGATAATAATTAGAAATGGTCGTCTGTGTGGGCTCAAACAAGGCAACAGGTGATTCTTCATTGAGCCACAGCTCCTCCCCACTCTCTCCTCAAAACGAGCCAGTAACTTCTGTCCTAAACTTTGTTTAAACGTTCTTATCTGAATTCATGAAGAAATCTAGGGGAGGGGGGTTTTCAAGGTCCGCCAGCTAGGCTGCCAGAGACAGGGCTCGAATCTAGGACCCAGTCGTCTCTGAGAACAGTCATAGCTCCGCCCAACCAAGCGCGACGTCACTGCCTCCTCAGTGCCAGAGAACAGGCACATGCCCCGACATGTCAACCTCTTTTACCCAAATTGGTATGGGGCGGGGTGTCGGCTGTTAGCCTTGAGGAAACGCTTGCACAATAAGGCTGACGCTTGGGGACTCTCGCATGCGAGCTGCTTTATGGGAAATAATGCGCCCAATCTGGCAATCAAACTGCTGTCTCCCTCTCGCCTTTCTTTGGGCGCAAAGAAAATGCTCTAAAGCCCAAAGCGGTGGTATGTGAGAGGCTAGGGTTGCCAACCTCCAGTTGGTGGCTGGAGATCTCCTGCTGTTACAACTGATCTCCAGGTGAGAACAGTTCTCCTGGAGAAAACAGTTGCTTTTGAATTTGGACATTGGCATTATGCCCCAAACTCTGCCCTCCTGTAGCTCTACCCCCCAAATCTACAGGTATTTCCCAACCCAGAGCTGGCAACCCTATAAAAAGCTGCTGCCTTCTATTTGTCCATTCCCAGTTATTGTCTCAATAACAGCAATACAACTGCAGGCAATTGGTACACGCTCTTCCACCCCCACCCCCCCCTTTAAAGCAAGCCCTCGTTTTTTTAAAAAACCAAAACACTTACTGGAGCAAAGTTCAGCTTGGAGGCAGTGGCGTGGGCGAATGCAGTTTTGAGAGAGGAGGTAGCTTGGCTCCTGTCGAGCACCTATCAAAGCTTAGTTGTCTTTGAACTGGCACTTGGAAACTTCTCCCACTTCCGGATAAAAACGAAAGTTAAAGCCGCTCTTAGACACCTTTGGGTAGTGAAGGGCGGGGTATAAATCCAATCTCCTCTTCTCCTTAAACCCAATTCCGCCTCTCAAACAGGGACTAAATACTAGGATTTCGCACTACTTTCAGTTGCAGTGGATATAATCTTAGTTTATTGCACCATAAAATAAATCTTGTTGCACCTTTAGTTTACTTCAAAAGGGGGGCAATTGTTTAGGATTTCATGGTTAGTCATCCTATTGAGACATAATTTTGTAATGTTACATTTAAGATCTCTGGTGTTTAAACTTTACTCTAGTTTTACATTTCCATTACACACCCTAGAAGTGAGGGGGGGGGGAATAATTTGGTCTTCATTCTAAAAAACAGACTTAAAATGATAAACCAGCTCTTAGACTTGCAAGACCAAAAGAACATCTAGCCCAACGTCTGTGGTACACATGGATCCACTTACTCTTGAGAAATTTCACTGTACCATATATTAACTATTACTTTAAAAGTTTCAGAGGAGTAGCCCTATTGGTCTGTAGTAGAATTGCTAGATTAGAGTGCAGGAGCACTTTGACTCTCAAAAGCTTATACCCCAAAAATGTTGTTGGTGCTACTGAATCTAGCTGTTTTAATGCGGGTAAAACATGTTTAGCACAAAACTAGAGGGGAAAAAGAAAGAAGATGCCCAGCTTAGTGAAGGGTTTGCCAAAACTCGTTTTACCTATTTAAAGCCCTTCACAGAACAATGCTTATAAAGTTCCATCACCTTTCAGTGCACCATCCAGTTACAAGCTGCTTCCACATGGAGGCAAGAGAATGTACCCATGAGGTGGAAGCAGCATGGAAGCAAGTGGGAACAGCATCTACACACTCCATTGCTAATGCTGCATGTCCATGCCTTCTCTTGGTTACTTCTGCACAGAAGCACAGACACAGCAACAAGTGTGTCTGGCCCCTTGCTTCATGGCACACACGGCCTGAGCCATAACCTAAAGCTACAACAGATCTCGGCAGTGAAATACAGCCCATTAAAGAGGGAGGGTACAGAGCTTTTAGCCTTTTGATACTGTCCATGGGGTTTTCTTGGCAAAAATACTGGAGTGGGTTGCCAACTTCGGAGGACGGCGGAAGACAGGAGAGCCTGGCGGGAGATTGTCCATGGGGTCGCGAAGAGTCGGACTCGACTGTGCGACTGAACAACAACAACAGAGCTTAGCTTAGTCTCCCTCCATGTATTGGCTGCAGGTTACCCCCCTCCCCCCTTCACTCAAAAGTGGCTTTCCTAGGCTTTGAATATAAGGTTTTGTTACATTTTATCGTTTATGTTCTCCAATATAAGTTTGTATCCAGTTATAAAAACTTGCCCATTTTATTTCAAAACCACTTCCTTGTTTTTGATGTAATTGTAAGGTTAGTTTGTCCATTTCTGCTGCCTCTAATAATTGGAAAATAAGTTCTTCTTTTGATGGAGTTTCTTCTTTCTTCCAATATTTTGCATATAAAATTCTGGCTGTTGTTACAATTTGTATAATCATATATACATCCTGTATACTGTAAGTATGTGGAATCGTATTTAATAAAAACAGTTCTGGTATGAAAGGTATATTCATATTAAGTATTTTTTGTACTATGTCATGTATCCCTATCCAATATTTCTTTACAACATCACAAGTCCACCACATACGGTAAAAAGAGCTAGTTTTTCAACTCAGAGATTACATGTAACAAACACTGTTGTAAGAGTATAGTATCCATGCGGTAGTATTTCTATTCTGCTCTTTGTATATTTTCATTTCTTTTCTTTGTAGACTCTTTCTATGAAACTAATAAAATCTTTTTCTTTTTTTAAAAAGTGGCTTTCCTTTGTTTGGCTCTTAGTTGAATACTGTTGTGCCACTGGTATCAGTAGGAGAATTAATCATGTGTGTAATGTGTGCAAAAGATCTATAAATCAAACCCACTGGAGGTAAGTGGTCATGCGCAACTGGACAATAGGTCTGGCTGTTTCCATGTGTGTTATTTGCATCAGATCTAATGCTGAAATACGGTTTTTGGTGTTATTTTTCTTCCCTGCTTTCCTATAGTGTCATAGTACATTCATGCACTGCCCAGGTTTCCCCCAGCTTTTCTCTCCAGCCTTTCTCAAACCTGCTTTGCTCTAAAATTTTGAGAAAGATCACAGCAAAGCCTGGGGGACTCTGTGGTTGGGCTGTTTCAGAAGGTATGCCTGTTCGTGTACAGTAGAATAACTGGATTCGAGTCCAGTAGCACTTTACAAAGAAGATTTGGGGGGGTATAGATTTCAAGAGTCAAAGTTCCCTTGGTCAGATACCTTTGGGCTGATGAAGGGAGCTTTGATCTTCGAAAGCTCATACCCCCCAAATCTTGTCGGTCTTTACGGTGCTACTAGGCTGGAATCTATCTGTGGCTTGACAAGTTCAGATTTTTCCAGTCCCACCCACACAGCAACCATTTCCCCTTCTGTTGTTGCCATGGCAGCCATTTCCTCCTGATACACAGATTGTTTTATTATTGGATTCAACTGTTGATTAAAAAACAAACAAACTGAAAAGGGCCCTGGTTGTGTAGGGCCACAGCAGCAATGGAGAAACTACAAAAATCTGTCCCCACGTTAAAAATTCTGTGTTTTCCTCCTGTGATTTGAGAGTAATTACTGCTCAAATTAGAAATGAAACATAGTAATAGCACAGCAGAGCAAACATCTAAGTCATTCTGTCTTTTTTCCTTCAAAAACACAGCGACATCATTCTTGCATAAACACATACACCAGTAACCATTGATAAAGGAATGACATACATTCGTTTTAGTAGACAGGAATATTTTTACAAAAGGCTTTCCAAACTTGGGTCTCCAAAGAAGTATGAGAGGCTGAAGGAAAACAGGTGCTTCTCCGGTCCCAGAAGGACCTGCACGAAGGAGCACACGCCAGGGAGATCCCAGGATTCTGGAGTAAATACAGGAGGAGGGAGAAAATGAACCGGGGGGGGGGGAGAGAAGAGGCGCTGAGGTAGACCACTGCATGTTAAAATGATGAGTTTAATTTCCGAGATAAAAAGGCAGAAGCTGGAGGGGTTTCTATAGGGCTGGAGTCATTAAAATGTAATGAGCAACAACAATTTAGAAATCCTTAGAACCTCCATTATACCATGAGCCATTATCTCAGCTCAGCTGTGTTTTATAGTTAAAATTATCTCCATTATCAGACATTTAAAAAGCACCTTGAGTGATGGGAGATGGTGGGGTGCTAATGCTAAGAACACAGAGGTATACTATGTATACAAGATGCCCCTCATGTTTCTCTGGAAAGGCTCTGAACCTATGGAAGATGCATAAACAACAGGTTACCAGGTTTGTGTTAAACAAAAGAATAGATATCGCTGAGCAGACCTTCCTATCTCCCCATCATTGGGATAATTCCTCCTCTATGAATGCCAAAATAAGCTTCTCTGTTTGCTCCTACAACACTACTGTATGCTGACCTGTCTCTACACATTCTTTATGTTGTCTAAATAAAGCTCACAGAGAGACTATACCAAAAGTTTTCAGTTCATTCAGCTATCTGGAATTACTGTCAGTCCTGCACGCAGTAACCCCCAAACATTTGACACCCAGAAAAAAATATCAATATTTCATAGTAAGATGAGAAAGGAGCTGTCATTGTATGAAATGTTAAGGAAGACAACACAGGGCAAGTGAATGTACTTGAAAACTCATCACCTAAACAATAGATTACTTGTGTTCCTTCCAAGACATACAATTTTCCTTTAGCACAGGGATAGGAAAACGTCTTTGGCCTGAGGTGCTGGAAAACACAATCATCTATCTGCAAAAATACTGATGTGCCCAGCAAACCAAATGGGAGGGTGGAATCAGGGTTGTATTTGGTCAGACACACTCGTAGCAGCCAAGCTCCAGCAGCATTGCCAGCATCTCAGGAATTCACCTTGGATTCTGTGGTGGCTGTGCAGGTCTGGGAGGCAATGATGGACATAAACCAAGTGTGTTGACTTTGCCTGCACTGAGTGCCCCAGCAGAGCTGTCAGTTGCCTGGGCAGAGATCTGGCCCCGGGTCTGGCATACTACTGTCAGCATATCCGATGGGGGTCGCCTACACCTCCTTTGGCATGATGTTGTTAGAACTGATGCATCTTCCATGTTATGTGCATGTTGTTTCAATGTCTGCAAACCACTTTGATGTGCATATTGCAATTATATGTACCATGCTGCTTGAATGCGAGCCTTTTTTTTTCAAAAATGCAAATACTCTGAAAAGTGGGTCGATGAAATCTATGTTTAAAATATTTGTTTAAAAAGCCTACTCTCTGTTAAATCATACATGCACTGTAAAAATACACATTAAATAGTTCAGACTGAACAGCAAGTTCATAAATATTTGCAATGCAATCCTATGTACATTTACTTAACCCCAACTTTATTCAGTGGGGCTTACTCCTAGGTAGAGGCGCACCAGACTACAGTCTTTGTGATCAATAGAGAGTAGCATTCCAAATGCCATAAAAAGTTATTTTTCACAAAAATACAAAGCTTTTCAGATTCATTATTTTAATACCACATTTGTATTGCATTATCCTGGATGTGATTGGAAATTCATTCTATAAAACCCCAACATAATGGTTACATTGACAGTTTGAGGTAAGTGATCTTTAACCGGCTGTTCATTTATATTTCAGTTCTAGCAAAAAGAAAAAACTGAGTTCTAGTTAAATTTCAAAATTTACAGTTTTCTGGGAAGTGTATGTATTATTGATCAAAGATCAGCTGCAATCCATTTCTTGATCATCAGTTTCTGTCTCCAATGGATACAGTTCATCCAATGCAAGCTCTGCAAGAGAGTACACATATATTTTAAAAGTGCTTACTTTTAAAAGTGCCTTAAAAGTTGGGCATGCATATTCAAAATTATTCTGAACATGATCTTAGTTGTTCTCCCTATGAAGAT